CGCCCCGGGCAAGGCTCCAGAGCTCGTTTGCATTTGGTTCACCGCAGCCTGACTTCCCAGAAACGGCTCCGCTCCTGTTTATTCCCTTTGACTGGCAGAGGCGGCAGCTCCTCCAGGGCAAAAAATTAAAAGAAAACACAGCAAAATAAAACCTAAAAACAACCAAAAAAACCCAAAACCAACTATTTAAAAATCAAACTCGACCAAAAAGTCAGGTTTGGTTTGGAGGGTGCTAAAAAAAAAAGGCAGAGAAACCCCATGTTGGGGAAGGGGGGTCCCCCTTGGATCTCGCCAGGCCGGGGCACGGTGCTCTCCCCCCGGGGGCACCGACACAGCGGCCACCGGGGCAAAGGGACAAGGAAATCCCTTGGGGACAGAGCCCCCGCTGTCGGCACCCGGCCAGGGGGAAGGAGGGCTCCTGGCTCCTTGCGGCGGCTCCCCACCGGCCCGCCGTGGCACCGCAGACGGGCGCCTCGGCCCCTGCCCTCGACCGGCCGCAACCGCCACAGGAGCAGCTCCCAGAGCCAGCGCCGCCGTCCCCACAGCCACCATTGCCGCCACCGTCCCTCGTGGGGCATGGCCGCCCGAGAGCGGTGGCCATGTGGCTGTTGACCGGGCCGGCTCCTGGGAGCCCCCTCAGCACAGCCTCGGGGAGGATTCACGCTTTATTGTCCCCAAATGTGTAGATTGAGGCGGGGGTGGTTCTTCCCCCGGGGTCTGCAGCCAAGGCCGGTGGCAGCCTGGCACGTGTGACTTGAAATAAAGGCCAGTGACATGGGGACGCTGGGTCCGCTGCCCCACAGCATGGCGGCAGCAGCTCCTCTCCGGTGTACCCCAGGCCCAAAATGCCTCGGCAGGCTGCCTGGAGGGGTCTGGGTGCCCCCAGCAGAGGTGGGGGGCTTGGCTGTGGCACCCCCAGTCTCTGGCTATCATCCCCCCGCAGGCAGGACTCCCACCCCAGAGGGGGGGTCCCATGTCCCAGGATGGGGGGGATGAGGGCCCTGTGGCCGCTCTGTCCAGAGGGGTTCAGGTGCCCCCAGCAGAGGTGGGGGGGCTTGGCTGTGCCCTCCTGGGGCACCCCCAATCCCCGGCTATCACCTCCCCCGTGGGCAGGACTCCCACCCCGGGGTGGGGGGTATGCAGCCACTCTGCCCGGAGGGGTCTGGGTGCCCCCCAGAAGTGGGGGGCTTGGCTGTGGCACCCCCGGTCCCTGGCTATCACCCCCCCGCGGGGATGACTCCCACCTCTGGGGGGCAGGGGGTTATCCCACACTGCAGGGTGGGGGGGGCCGCTCTGCCCGGGGAGGA